GCATAGAATTCCATTGTGTATATATACCACATTTTCTTGATCCATTCATCTACTGAGGGGCATCTGGGTTGGTTCCAGATCTTGGCTATGGTAAAAAAAAATATGGAATGCTTCACAAATTTGCGTGTCATCCTTGCGCAGGGGCCATGCTAATCTTCTCTGTATCGTTCCAATTTTAGTATATGTGCTGCCGAAGTGAACACTCACTCATTGTTCTTTACAGTGCTCAAGTTCTCCTCTGTGGAAGCCCCTTTTGCTACCTCTGTTGGCTTCTGCTTTGTCCTTGTCCAGGAGCCACCATCCATGAGGTTCTTTCTTTGTCCTAGTCCTTGTGTCCCAAAAGGCCAAGTGCCAAGTCACAGCCTTCATGGCCCTGGCACATTTCTGAGTCCTCTTTTTTTTTTTTTTTTTTTTTGACTCGCCTCTTTCACCTGAGTACCTCCAGCTCTACACCTTACAGTGCCCTCAGGTTCATGTTCATATGATAGTGGTCTCTGAGTGCTCCTGAGAACTTGTTCACAGGGGCAATACCTGGGATAATCTGACCTCAGGCTGTAGCTCCCCTTCCTGGCTCCTGAGTACTGCTGCCATTTAGGCCACCTGTCCCCAAGGACTACTTTAACTGGTCCATCAATATGGATACCTATTCTATACCTAGAACTTCTCCTGCCCAGTCCATCGGTGCCATCCCTTCCTCCTGGGGCGGGGGAGGCGAGAGGATATTGTCTCCTGACTCATGTCCATTCTGCCTGTTTCCTCCTGCCCTGTGTTCATCCCACACCAGTTCAAAGTGACCAACAGGGCTCAAAATGCTCCCATTATTGCCTGCCTTTGACCCAACTAGTCAGATCCCTAAGGGCAAGTCTCTATTACTGTGGCCAGCACCAGAGAGGATAAACATTCAAGTATTTCATAAATGAATCTTTTTTTTTTTTTTTTTTTTTGGTCAGTCATGGGGCTTGAATTATGGGCCTGGGCTCTGTCCCTGAGCTCTTCAGCTTAAGGCTAGTGCTCTACCACTTGAGCCACAGGGCCAGTTCTGGTTTTCTATTGGTTAATTAGAGATAAGAGTCTTATGGATTTTCCTGCCTGGGCTGATGATCCTCAGAGTCCAGCCTCCTGAATAGCTAGGATTACAGGTGTGAGCCACCACCTGTGCCAGGCTAAATGAGTTTCTTAACAGCCTCCCTCCCCCCTAGGGCACACCTAGGGGTGAGCTAGGATTAGATCTTACTTCCCTGACTCCTTCAATTCTTCATCTTGTAATTTCTTTCTTTTTTTTGGGGGGGGGACCGGTCATGGGGCCTGAACTCTGGGCCTGGACGCTGTCCCTCAGCTCTTCAGCTCAAGGCTAGTACTACTCTACCACTTGAGCCACAGTGCCACTTCTGGCTTTTTTCTTTTTGCTTATGTGGTGATGAGGAATCAAACCCAGGGCCTCATGCATGCAAGGCAAGTGCTCTACCACTGAGCCACCTTCCCAGCCCCCCATCTTGTAATTTCTTTGTTTTCATGTTCACATAAAAGTTCTCGGAAGGTGGCTCAGTGGTAGAGTGCTTGCCTTGTTTGTGTGAGGCCCTGGGTTCAATTCCTCAGCACCACATAAGCAGAAAAAGCCAGAAGTGGTGCTATAGCTCAATTGGTAGAGTGCTAGCTCTTCAGCTCAAGGCGCAGAGTGCCCCACGTCCAGAGTTCAGGCCCCATGACTGGCAAAAAAAAAAAAAAAAAAAAGAGTTCTCAGAAGAGAGGAGCTTAAGCTTTTCCTTATCTACTATGTATTCAGATTCTCTTGAGCTCTGGACACAGGCTCAACAGTGCAGGAGTGGTATGACCTCAGCCTTTGTCATTAGATGCCACCTCGATACTTTCTGACTGTTCTAAGGGCACTGGTAGGCACTGTGTGGGGACACATGTCACCAGTGACAATGATATGTGCTTACCTCTCCATGCTTCTTTCCCAGGAAATGGCAGGCAGAGCACTCAAGCAGACGGGCAGCAGGAGTATTGAAGCCGCCCTGGAGTATATCAGTAAGATGGGCTACCTGGACCCGAGGAATGAACAGATTGTTCGTGTCATTAAACAGACTTCCCCAGGTGAGTGCAGTGAGGTGCATGAGAATTTGAGAACATGGAACTGTTAGCAGGAAGAGGTCTGATAGCTTGGCTTTGGTCAGTAGATAATTACTTGACACATAGCCTTCTATGGCCAAAGGATGCACTGAGCCTACCCTGGCTGATAGTAAGGCCTAGAGGGGGGAGAAACTTGTCTGTGTACTCACCCTACCCCTATCTGAAATAACCTGTAGTAAGTCTTGTCTAGAGGGTTTTTGTGCTTGTTTTGTTTTCTTAAAAAATGAAAAAAATCCAGTAGAGTGAGTAAATATGTTCTTTTTACTTGCTCTTTTCCTGGAGAAAAGTCTTTGAAATACTTACCAGTTCTAAGTTGGGCACCAGTGGCTCATACCTGTAATCCTAGCTACTTAGGAGGCTTGATCTGATTGCAATTTGAAACCATCTTGAGTAGGAAAGTCTGTGAGACTCTTATCTGCAATAAACTACCAAAAAAAGCCAGAAGTGGAGCTATGACTCAAGTGGTAGAGTACTAGCCTTAAGTACAAAAGCTCAAGTACAGTGTGCAGGCTGAGTTCAAGCTCCTAGGATCAGCATCCCCCCCCCCCAAAAAAAAAAAGCCAGGCTGGTAGCTGCTACTCCAGAGGCTGAAGATCAAGGTTCCAAGTCAACCCAGGGAAGGAAAGTCCCTGTGAGCCAACCCCGGCAATCTTTGACTCTTTCTCCAATTAACCACCAGAAAACTGAAAGTGCAGCTGTGGCTCAAAGTGGTAGAGTGCTAGCCTTGAGCAGAAAAGTTCAAGGACAGCACCTAGCCTCTGAGTTCAAGCCCTACAACCAACCAAAAGCACAACTTTTTCACACTCAATGACAGGTACTTCTAGGGATCTCTGGGATTTTTTCAAGTGTCCCCTGGAATGGACAAAGGGACCCACAGTGCTTTATTGGCTATCAATTATGTTCTTCTCTGAGAATTCAGGATAGGCCATATTTTAGGTACTTTGAGACCCTGGTATGTGATAAAGGATCTATAGCTTGCAAAAGTATTTTCTCCATTTTTATGGAAACCCTGGAATAAAACCTGCTTCACATGAATGAGAAACATCTCACAGGTCTTATAAGTTATATCTGTTGTTAGGAGAACACAGATTTCTGTTTTCTTCTTGAGAGAAGGTCTTTCTAAATGTGTTCCTGTTCATTTACATCATGATTCTTGGAGTTCTGATGCAAAGGGAAACAGGATCTACTCTGTAATGATTTTTTCCTAATGGCCTTTGCTGTGCTGTAATCACAGGAAAGCATTAACCCAGGCAACCAAACCAAATGTGGTCCTCCTGGATGGGCAAAGTCACAGCTTTTGGATTACAGCATCCTCTGCCAAAGCAGGCTCTGGAGCAGAGCATTTGAGATGAAGAAATGAAAGGAGGAGCCCTTTTTATTCCTTCCAGGCATCAAATTTAAATCAGGAAAATTTCTTAAAGTAGAAAAATCAGGAATTGGAGACAGCAGCAGAAGTCCATCTGGAGGTTTGTGGAGGGAGCCTGTGGGGTTTTTTCTTTTTGTTTTTATTTTTGTGCTGGTCCTAGGGCTTGAACTCAGGACCTGGGTGCTGTTCCTGAGCTTCTTTGCTCAAAGCTAATGCTCTACCACTTGAGCCACAGTTCCACTTCCAGCTTTTTGGTGGTTAATTAGAGATAAGAGTAGCTAGGAGCCAGGAGCCTGTGGCCCATGCCTATAACCCTAGCTATTAAGGAGGCTGAGATATGAGGAACGTGGTTCAAAGCCAGACCAGGCAAGAAAGTCCATAAAACTCTTATCTCCAATAAACCACTCAAAAAACTGGAAGTAGTGCTGTGGCTCAAGTGGGTAGAGTGCTAGCCTTGAGCTGAAGAGCTGAGAGACAGCGCCCAGGCCCAGAGTTCAAGCCCCACAACTGACAAAAAAAGAGTAGCTATGATTACAATTCTGAGCCCCCAATGCAGGAAGCCTTTGATTTAGAGAACTAGGTAAAAGGAAAGTAGACATTTTGAGTGGGTATGATTCTGACCTTTGTTAGGGAAGGAAAAAAAGCAGACTTTGGGAATCCTGTGCCAGTAAACTAAACTGTCCCACATGACTTGAGCATGTCATGTAGAAAACAATGCTGGCTGTCTACATGGTTCCGGACAAAACTGAGACTGTACCTTCTCTGGCCTGTAAGCCATGCACTCCTTGGCCTGTGGTTTCCTCTCCTCTTCCCATGCCAGATTATGGTGATTGGTCCCTGCTGGACAGTATGTACTCTTTCCAGCTCAGAGTGGAGTCCTTGTGAATCTGTTCAGCCCCAAGAAACATGGCTAGTATGAGGATCAACCTGAAAGTACGAGAACTCACAGATGCTTTCACCTACAGTAGATGGATCACTAAGACCTGGTGGGTTCTTGTTCTTGCTGAAAAAAATAATTCAGGGACAGACTGTTTTACACAGCTAGGTTTGTTACAAGCAAAAGTGAAAAGAAACAGCAAAGAAAACAAGCAGCCAAATGTTCTGATCTTTCAGGGCCTAAGCACCCTTAGGAGCTGTTTAACTGGCATGTTAATTTATGTACTTCATTGTGGAGTATTCTAGGTAATGGGAAGACTTTTCCTAGAAGCTGTGGCTAAGGAGATTACCTCACAAGGGCAAAATGGTGATTTGCAAGGGTGTGTATGCATAATCCCATAACTTTAATTAGTGCTAGTAAAGTCTTCCTGCAGAAATGAAACAGAACCACAGAGTGGAGATTCACAGAACTGCCAAAGTGTCAATGGGGTATTGAATCAGGAGGTGAGTAGAATTGAGGACTTGTGTGGGGGTACCAAAAGCTCTCATCATCCCTTTTGGAGCGGCTACTACTGGACTCATATTCCTCTGCCCAAGACCCCCTTAGTCTCACTCTGATATTATCCTTCTGTTCTTTCTGCTGCAGGAAAGGGCCTTGCACCTGCCCCGGTGACACGGAGGCCCAGCTTCGAAGGTACAGGTGAAGCCTATCCACCCTACCACCCATTGGGCAGCTCCGCCTACGAGGGTCCAGGCTTTGGCACCGAGGGCCCCACTGCACTGGAGGATGTGCCACGGCCCTACATGGATTTCCTCTATTCTGGGGTCAGCCCCCATGGGGTGCATGGCCACCAGCACCCTCCCAAAAACTATGGTGCAGGAGTGGAGGCTGGGGGGACGCACTTTCCCTCAGGTGCAGCCCTGCCACTGCCAGGTGCTCACTATAGCCGCCCACACATCCTGGTGCCAGCTGAGCCCCTGGGCTACGGTGTGCAGCGCAGTCCCTCCTTCCAGAGCAAGACGCCACCAGAGCCAGGAGGCTACTCTGGCCTGACTACCAAGGGTCAAGGGGGCCCCCCAGGCCCTGGCCTGGCTTTCTCAGCCCCAACCACAGGGCTGTATGCTCAACACATACACCACAAGCAGGCTGGGACCCACCAACTGCATGTGATGGGGTCCCGAGGCCAGGGGTTTGCTGGTGACAGCCCCACACAGAGCCTGCTTGCCTCCTCCAGAAACAGTCTCAACATGGACCTGTATGAACTGGGTGGTGCCCCTGTGCAGCAGTGGCCAGGTGCCACGCTGGCCCGCCGTGACTCCCTGCAGAAGCCTGGCCTGGAGGCACCACGCCAGCACATGGCCTTCCGGTCCAGTGGCCCAGGACCCAGCAGGACCAACTCCTTCAATAGCCAGCAACCTCGGGCCGGTGTGACAGGCCAGCCTGAGCCCTCCCTGCCCGCCCCCAACACTGTCACGGCCGTGACGGCCGCACACATTCTGCACCCTGTGAAGAGTGTGCGGGTGCTGAGACCTGAGCCACAGACAGCTGTGGGGCCCTCGCACCCCGCCTGGGTGCCTGCCCCTGCCCCTGAGGGGCTAGACAGCAAGGAAGAACATAGCCTGGGCCTGGGCAATACCAGTACTCACCCCCTGGATGTGGAGTATGGTGGCCCAGACCTCAGGTGCCCACCACCACCCTACCCCAAGCACCTGTTGCTGCACAGCAAGTCTGAGCAGTATGACCTGGGCCTGGACAGCCTGTGTGCTGGTATGGAGCAGAGCCTTCGCTCAGAGCCCACCGACAGGGGTGACAAGAGCCACAAGAGCACAAAGGGGGACAAAGGCAGCAAAGATAAAAAGCAGATCCAGACCTCCCCAGTTCCTGTTCGCAAAAACAGCAGAGATGAAGAGAAGAGAGAGTCTCGCATCAAGAGCTATTCCCCATATGCCTTTAAGTTCTTCATGGAACAACATGTGGAAAACGTTATAAAGACCTACCAGCAGAAGGTGAACCGCAGGCTGCAGCTGGAACAAGAAATGAGCAAAGTAATTTGTCTTCATTTTTAGCACTCTCTCTCTCTCTCTCTCTCTCTTCTTTTGTTGGTAACAGGCTTCTCTGGAAGTCCTATTCAATTCTGTTACATTTCTTTATCATGAACCCATCTCAGGGTCATAGTCGTGTGTGTGTGTGTGTGTGTGTGTGTGTGTGTGAAGTCCTACTTAATTCTGTTACATTTCTTTATCAAGAACCCATCTCAGGGTCATAGTTGTGTGTGTGTGTTTGTGTGTGTCCATCCATGTGTCAGTTCTGAAGCTTGAACTTGGGCCTCCTGTTTTCACTTTTTGTTTTTTTCTTTTTTCTTTCAGTCCCTGAAACTTTAACTCTGGGCTTGAGTACTGTCCCTGAGCTCTTCAGCTCAAGGGTAGTACTCTACCACTTGAACCATAGCACAACTTCTGGTTTTCTGGTGGGCTGGGCTGGCTTTGAACCGTAATCCTCAGATCTCAGCCTCCTGAGTAGCTAAGATTACAGACATGAGCCACCAGTGCCCAGCTCACTTGGGATTTTTGCTCAAGGCTGTTGTACTACCACTATAGCTATAACCTCCACTCCTTGCTGGATTTTTTTGTTGTTGCCAGCCTAGGGCTGGCTTCTGTCATCCTCAGATCTCAGCTCTCTGAGTAGCTAGGATTACAGCTGTGAGCCACCAGCACCTGGCTTCATAGTCTTATTGTGGATCAGTGACTCAGAAAAGTCACAAATGTGGTGGCTTCCTTTTCTCCTTCCCTTCCTGCTGACCTTGGGGAATCTGTGATAGCTGTGTATAATGTGGCTAATAGGTAAACTGGCAAGTTGATTTTTATGGCATTTTCCTCATTCTTGAAGAAGCTATGTGAAGGATGATTTACCACTGAATGAATAAAACCAAAGTTCCAGGTTTATAAATTGAAACTGAGATTTTTAAAGAAGAATATATCTAGTAGTGATCCATTGATACATCCTATAAGTAATTTGTAAGTAATACTTTAAACATACCAAGTAATTGACACTATGAAATGCTAGGAAGAGGTATTTATTGAAATAATAAGATAATGTAACAGTAAATATGAGTTACACAGAACCAGTCATTCCAGACTCTGAAAGTCAAGTTTGTGTTCTTTCTATTGTCCCATTCATTGCTTTATGTTTTCTCTTCCCCATCTTCTCTGAGCTGGTGATTACTATAGGAGTTCCAGGAATGGTATCATCCCTGTCCCCTTATCTTTTAACTAGTAGAGAGTTTCCTTCATTTTTAGAGTTGAAAGTCACCTACAGAAGAACTGTTTTTGTCTTTTCTTCCTTTGGGTTACAAATGTTTATTTCTATATGGATAAAAGAATAATACTAATTATTGTTCTGCTTGTAGTGTAGTAGAACCATTCTTCTGTAGCATGCTCTTGGTTCCAGGACTTTCCCTGCCCCAATCCCTTGTTGCCACTGGGCTCGCTAAGGTGACTCTTCTGACTCATTTTACTTGTGTGTAGGCTGGACTCTGTGAGGCTGAACAGGAACAGATGAGGAAGATCCTCTACCAAAAGGAGTCTAATTACAACAGGCTGAAGAGGGCCAAGATGGACAAGTCCATGTTTGTGAAAATCAAAACCCTGGGGATCGGTGCCTTTGGAGAAGTGTGCCTTGCCTGCAAGGTAGACACGCATGCCTTGTATGCCATGAAGACCCTGAGGAAGAAAGATGTCCTAAATCGGAATCAGGTGGCCCATGTCAAGGCTGAGAGGGACATCCTGGCTGAGGCAGACAATGAGTGGGTAGTCAAACTCTACTACTCCTTCCAAGACAAAGATAGCCTGTACTTTGTGATGGACTATATCCCTGGGGGGGACATGATGAGCCTGCTGATCCGGATGGAAGTCTTCCCTGAGCACCTGGCCCGCTTCTACATCGCAGAGTTGACTTTAGCCATTGAGAGTGTCCACAAGATGGGCTTCATCCACCGAGACATCAAGCCTGACAATATTTTGATTGACTTGGATGGTCACATCAAACTGACAGATTTTGGCCTCTGCACTGGATTTAGGTGGACTCATAATTCAAAGTACTACCAGAAAGGTACTGTCCTGGGTGTGCTGTGGGCATCTCCACATCCATCTGGAGATCAACATTCTGGGGCAAGTGGTCCCATCCAAGGTGGCTCTTAATCATTTCAAAGTTACCTCTCACTCCATTTTATAATTTGATGTAACATCCTTTTCTCCCTGAAGTAATAGTGTAATTTATGTGAGTTGGTGGGGAAGGGGAGGCTGGGGGTATTTTTTGTGGCCGTGTTTTTGGTTTTTTGTTTGTTTGTTTTTAAGGTAGTAAGTAGCCTTTAGTGTTGCTACATTTTAAGGTCATAGGAACTTTGTGAAGAAACGTCACTTTTCTATTATTTAAAAACAAGCGTATGGTCTAAGGGGGTAGATCAGTGTCAGAGCACTTGCCTAGCATGGACACGGTCCTGGACATAGAAAGGAGAAGGAAAAGCCTCACTACTCCTCTTACAGCTGACCTGATTCTAATGTATCGTTAGCTTCATTTCCTATGGTTCTGTTTCCAAAGACTAAAACCAGCTGCTGCTTACCTTATTTATGATTGGAGTTCCTGAATTAATCAATTTTAATATTTAACTCAAAACTAACCTTCATTCTCACTGAGCCCATTTTTTAAGTCTTCTTTAGTTTTTCTATGCTCATTATGTCTTGCTGGACAGGTGCCATTAGTGTGAGAAGTGAGCAGAGTGGCATGCCCTCATCCTTCCAGGCTTGCTTTTATTATTATATTATTTTTTATTTTTATTTTATTTTTATTTTTAATCCATACTGAGACTTGAACTTGAGGCCTGAGTGATCTTCCTGAGCTTTTTTGGCTTAAAGTTACCTATCTACCACTTGAACCACATAGCTCCACTTCTGGCTTTTTTGCTGATTAATTGCAGATAGGAGTTTCACAGACTTTGTTACCTAGGCTGGCTTTGAACCATGATTACAAGCATGTGCCACCGAAGTTCAGTTCCTTTCCAGCCTTTCTTACCATGCTTGATTGCCTGCTTACTACAGTGTACTTTGCTATTACTACTTCGGGCCACTGGCATTGCCCTTAGCTTGTACAGGTCTCAACCAGGAACCACAGATATCCTTGTGGAACAGTTTGGGGAGGATTCTTTGTCCTAATGTGTTAGCAGCTGATTGAAATTACTTCTTAAAACTTAATTGCATTAAACTATGGATTTGTCACATTGGCTCATAAGATTCACATTACTTTCTGTTCTTTCACCATCCCTCATTCCTTGGCAAAGGGAGCCACATCAGACAGGACAGCATGGAGCCTGGTGACCTCTGGGACAATGTGTCTAACTGCCGATGTGGGGACAGGCTGAAGACTCTAGAACAGAGAGCACAGAAGCAGCACCAGAGGTGCCTGGCACATTCCCTAGTTGGGACTCCAAATTACATCGCGCCAGAGGTGCTTCTGCGAAAAGGTACACTAAGGGGTTGCTTGTCACAAGCTCACAGCTAGCCATTGACTTGAGTTGATTTTCCTTTCCAGCCCTGAGGGGCCGGATAACTTTTATGAGGTCTCTCTTACCTTTAGGTTTCCAAGACTAAATATTTTCAATGTATATTTGTGCCCAGGGAAGCCTAAAAGCAAAGTGATTTCTCTCAGCTCTGTTCTGGAAGTTTTCTTGCTTCATGCACTATTAGGCCAGTGTCCGCTTGTCCCCTCCCTCTGGCTGTGATGAGTGTAGCACCTGGGCTTTCTACCTAAGATCCAGAGGAAGTGGCTCTGAAACTGAATTTTCCAGAACACGTGATGGAAACAGTTCTGGGACTACTACTTGATCTGCCAAACCCATTCTTGGGCTTTAGCCTCACACTCTCTGTTCTATATTCCTGACCAGGTAATTCTGTGTCTAGCACAAAAATACGGTTTTCCTGTCATTTTTCTGCTAGCCCCAAACTACTGACAAATCTTACCACACTACCTTTGTAGTGAGCATAAAGTCACTAATACTCAGCAGAAATTGTCTCCTGGATGGATTTGTCTGTTTGGTCAAACACAACATTGATTTCAGAAAATGAGGAATCCCTACACATATGGGCCTATATGGCCCATAACAACTGCTGGGCTGCTGGCTTGCTTCTATGTTGTGCTAATTCAGGTAACAGGCAGTCTCTCCCTCCACATGCATTGTTGGATGTTGTTGGGGCCAGCCAGACCTGTTCCGATTGAGGGTTTTTCTGTTTGGTGCAGAGATGCCAGGCAGGAGGTAACTAGGAGCCACTTAGCCACAGTTAGTGAGTACTAACCTGGTGCCCAGGAAAGGAGCTCTGGACTGTGTTATTCTTGAGTCTCAATGGCAAAACAAATGGGTAAAGGAGAGAATCCAGAGATCTAGCAGGCCATCTGAGGGGCTGACTTCTCATAAATTTAGTTCCCAATAACAGGGACCACATGGCAACAAGACTAGCTCCTCTTGACTAGGAGAACCAATGGAGCTCTGAAGGAAAACTACGAGATAATCAAAAGTTAAATGAACCTTCCCACCTCAGGGTGGCCCTGAGTACCTACCCCAGACAGGAACTTTGTTGTGGGGAAACACTTGGCTCTGCTAGAGCCACATATACAGGAAAGGCATTTGGAGTTACAGTGCATTGTCCAGTCATCTTTGCCAGAGTGGCCCTTCTCTTCATATCTTCAGCTCCATCCAAAAATGCGTTAAAGGTCCCCAGGAAACCCTCTTAATGATGGCTTTATCCAACTATTCTCAGGTCATGGCACTTTGTGGTTTTTTATTTCTACTATCTTCATTTGTGCCTCTGTTTATGTGATCAGTTGGTAACAAGTTAAGGATTACAGTGATCTCTTAAAATTAAAAAAGTGGTTTCTTATTATGAAAGCATCCCAAATATATGACATAGTGCTGACTGGAAGTAAGCAAGTACCATGTGGCTGGGGTTCCTGTGAACTAGCACACTGGCATGAGGCCTCCAGCTGCTTTCTGAGTCCCTGCAAGGACTCTGTCTTCTTTCGTGAGCACCAGTACTACCTGAGTATGCTTCCCTGAAGTCCATATGCTCAGGATCTGACAGAAGTCATCTTGACAGGGAGTCTGGGCTGCACTGGGACTGATTGAACGCTATCTTTCAGGGTACACGCAGCTCTGTGACTGGTGGAGCGTTGGTGTGATTCTCTTTGAGATGCTGGTCGGGCAGCCGCCCTTTTTGGCACCTACCCCGACAGAAACCCAGCTGAAGGTAAGTAGGAAGGGATGTGCACCTGCTTATGAGCGCTATACTTTCTGATGCTTCTGAAATCCTCAATCACTATCTGACTTCTTATTGGTTATAATGGAATTTTTTGTTTGTTTTGTTTTAAAGCAGCCTCCGATGTAGCCCCAGCTGGTCTTGAACTCTCAATGTTTTTTTTTTTTGGGGGGGGGCTTATTTTTGGTACTAAACTCAGAGCCTAGGTACTGTCTCTTAGCTTTCTTTTTTTCTTTTTTTTTTTTTTGTCGGTCGTGGGGCTTGAACTCTGGGCCTGGGCGCTGTCCCTCAGCTCTCCAGCTCAAGGCGAGCGCTCTACCACTTGAGCTACAGCGTCACTTCCGGTTTTCTGGTAGTTTATTGGAGATAGGAGTCTCACGGTCTTTCCTGCCCAGGCTGGCTTTGAACCTCGATCCTCAGATCTCAGCCTCCTGAGTAGCTAGGATTACAGGCGTGAGCCACCAGCGCCCGGCTTCTCTTAGCTTTCTTGATCTAGTCTACTGCCTTGTGACTTTAGCCACAGCTCTACTTCCAGCTTTTTTGGTAGTTAGTTTATTGGACATAAAAGTCTCAGGGAAGCTGGGTGCCAGTAGCTCACTCCTGTAATCCTAGTTACTCAGCAGGCTGATCTGAGAGAATTGTGGTTCAAAGCCAGCCTGGGCAGAAAAGTCCATGAGACTCTGATTTCCAGGTAAACAACCAGAAAACTGGAAGTGGCTCTGTGGCTTAAGTGGTAGAGCACTTGCCTTGAGCTGAAGAGCTCAGGGACAGTGCCCCAGTCCCAGAGTTCAAGCCCCACAACTGACAAAAAAAAAAAGCCTCAGGGACTTTCCTGCTTGGCTGTCTTTAAACATTGATCCTCAGATCTCAGCCTCTTGGGTAACTAGGATTACAGGCATGAGTCACCAGTGCCCACCTTCCATTTATTTGTTTGGTTGTTTTTACCAGTCCTGGGTCTTGAACTGAGGGTCTGCACACTGTCTCTGAGCTGCTTTTGCTCAAGGCTAGCACTCTACTACTTGAGCCACAAGTACCACGTCCGGTTTTTTCTGTGTATGTGGTACTGAGGAATCAAACCCCTGGCTTCTTGCAATCTAGGCAAGCTCTTTACCACTAAGCCACATTCCCAGCCCCTACATTCACAATGTTGATTCACTGTTTCCACACTCTTAATTCCAGTTTTTAAATCTTAGAAACTTTGTACCCATTAAATAATAGTCCCCCTTTCTCCCTACCTCCCCCTTCCCTTCCTCACCTCTGTTTTATTTTGTGTCTCTGAATGTGACTACTTAACGCATGTATGTGGAAATGAACATTATTTGTCCTTTTGTGACTGACTGCCTTATTTCATTTGGCATATCACCTCCAAGGCTCATTGTGCTATAGAATGTTGGAGTTTCCTTCCTCTTGGAGGCTGAATTAGAATCCTTTGTTTGTACCATATATTGTTTATACACTCATCCAGCAATGAATGGGTGTTTCTACCTCTTAGCTGTTGTGAAAAGCGCTGCCATGAAATGAGCATGGCTATGCAAGTATTTCCTTTGGCTATATAGGCAGAGGTGGGATTGCTGGCTCCATAGTCATTCCATGTTTAACTGTTAGAGGAACTGCCAACTGTTTAACAGCTGTACCAGTTTACAATTTCACCAGTAAAGTACACAGCTTCTGACTGATTCTCAATCTTTCTGCTAACCCTTAAAGCCCTCGCTCCTCCTATGTCTTGAATTCTGGCCATTTAATGGGTGTGCACCTCCATTCTTCTCTCTGAAGTTACTTTTTTTAAAAAACATTTTTAAAACTTTATTGTCAAGGTGATGTACAGAAGGATTACAGTTACATAAGTAAGGTAGTAAGTACATTTCTTTTGGAACTTGTTACTCCCTCCTTCATTTTTCTCCCACTTACCCCCACCCCTATCGCCCTCCCCCAGAGTTACCGTCTATTGTCCAAAAGTCCCCAGTTACTATTTTGGCCCAGTAAATATTGAGTGACTACAGTAGAAAACAATTGCCATTGCTAAAGGAAACTACTTATAGGCTAGAGATGTGGCTTAGTGGTAGAGTGTTTGCCTATGCATGAAGCCCTGGTACCTCAGTACCACATACACAGAAAAAGCCAGAAGTGGCTCTGTGCCTCAAGTGGTAGAGTGCTAGCCTTGAGCAAAAGAAGCTCAGGGACAGTGCCCAGGCCCTGAGTTCAAGCCCCAGGGCTAGGGAAAAAAGATACTATTTATTGAGATGAATTCCAGGAAATGGAAGCGTTGTTGGGTTTTTTTTTGTTTGTTTTTTTGGCGGTGGCAGTGTTTTTGCTTTTTTGTTTTTTTTTTCTTTTGTATTTTTAGGGGGCGGGGGAAGGGAGGTGCAGAATTGAGGGAGGAAAGATGAGCAAATGAATTCATGGTATTCAGTATGAATGAACTATACAATTTGTGGGAGAGATGAGAGAAGAAACTAAAGGAGGGGGTAACATCCAAACATAATTATACTCATTAGCTGACTTGAAAGAGCCTCATAGGCTTTCCTGCCTGGGCTGACTTCAAACCTCAATCCTCACATCTTAGCCTCCTGAGTAGCTAGGATTACAAGTATGAGCAACTGGTGCCCAGTGACACAGTATTTTTTTTTTTGACACAGTATTTTTTTTTCCACATTCTTTATTGCATTTTATTTTTTTTAATTCTTTATTGTAAAGATACTATACAGAGGGTTACAGTTACATGAGCAAGGTAATGAGTACACTTCCTATTGAGCATTTGACACAGTATTTTTTACAGAAGAAAATCAGTGTCTTCTGAGCTGAAAATGACTAGCCATCTTCTAAAACCACACTGACTTATTGCTGCTTGGACCAACAATTGCTTCCTCTGTGTCTTTTTTTTTTTTTTTTTCTGACACTAGATGCTTTAAAAGGCACAGCATCTGGCTCAAGTGGTAGCTTGCTAGCCTTGAGCTGAAGAGCTGAGGGACAGTGCCCAGACCCAGAGTTCAGGCACCATGACCAGACTCCCCCCAAAATAAATAAATGAATGGCACAGCATCATATACTATCAAAAAACACACTTTAGCTTACCATTATTTTATTTTTTATTTTTCCTTTTTGCCTATACTAGAGCTTCAACTCAGGGCCTCTGGGTACTGGTACTCTTAACATTTGACTTACCATTCCTACCTTTAGCCCTTTGCTAAAAGATATCTTTGAAGATAAGAGTCTCAAGAACTTTCCTGCCCATCCTCAGATCTAAGACTCCTGAGTAGCTCCAATTACAGGTGAACCACTGATGTCAGCTCTCAGCTCACCCTTGAAATATGAGGAGAAAGCCTTTGGTTCTGTTGTCTCTTCAGGTGATAAACTGGGAGAACACGCTCCACATTCCAGCCCAGGTGAAGCTGAGCCCTGAGGCCAGGGACCTCATCACCAAACTGTGCTGCTCAGCTGACTGCCGTCTGGGGAGGGATGGCGCAGATGACCTGAAGGCCCACCCATTCTTCAGCACCATTGACTTCTCCAGCGACATTCGCAAGCAGCCAGCCCCCTATGTCCCCACCGTCAGTCACCCCATGGACACATCCAATTTTGACCCAGTCGATGACGAGAGCCTTGAGAATGAGGCCAGCGAAGGCAGTGCCAAGGCCTGGGACACGCTCACCTCCCCCCACAACAAGCACCCAGAGCATGCGTTCTATGAGTTCACTTTCCGGAGATTCTTTGATGACAATGGCTACCCCTTTAGACGTCCCAAGCCTTCAGGGGCAGAGGTTTTGCAGGCTGAGAACTTGAATTTAGAAAATTCTGATCTAGTGGATCAGAGTGAAAGCTGCCAGCCTGTGTATGTGTAGGTGACCCAGGGCCACCTGGTTTTGTCAGAGGTTGGGCTTACAGCCTGGTGGCTCTTATTTTAAATTAGTCCGTTGATTACGTCACTTGAAATTCTGGTCTTCGTTAAGGAAACCCAAAAACCAAGAAAAACTTTTTTCTTTTTTTAAGGGACTCAAGTCTAGTTGATCTTTTATTTCTAGATTCTGGTTGATGGCCAGCAGGGAGTGCCACCATGCCTTTGAATTGGCTTTTGAAGACCTTCTCTCACTGCATTAAAACATTTAAAACAATTAGTATAAGTTAGAGCACTTATTTTGTTGATATCCATTTTTTTCTTAACTAAATTATAAGGATTAACTTTGACAAATCATGCTGCTGTTATTTTCTACATTTGTATTTTGTCCAATAGCACTTATTCACATTTAGGAAAACACATGAAAAGTGAAGAACATGTGATAAGAAATCCCTGTGCAATAATGTTTTTAAAAAATAACACTCTGCTCAGATTTCACGGAGACTGTTTTGTATATTTCTCACATTTTAAAATTGTGATATAATGTTAAAAAGCTGCTTTTTTTGCTTTTTTGCATATTATATAGTATATTAGGAAGTGTGAGCAAAGAGATGATATGGGTGTGAGTTCAGATGTTTGGTGTGTGGAAAGTACTGCATGAGCAGAGGTTTTTCTATTATAAAATTACCGTATCTTGCCATTCACAGCAGGTCCTGTGAATATGTATGTACCAAGTGTTTTTAAATGAGGTATTCTAGACCACAGTTAATGTATTGTGTGGGTGACTTCTTTGCCATGATTGTATCCCTTATTGTTTTGTTAAAGAAATGCAGATGTGTAAATGAGAAGTGATTTTTGTTTTAAAATGTATGTGTCTTTGGGTATGATTGGTTTCTTGCAGGGGTTGGTAAACATCAACATTTGTCATGTACTAAACCTATATATGTCAAAAGGGATGAATTCAGCTATGCCAAGATATTGTGGTTAATCATGGATCTTCTGTCTTTTTCTCTGACTAGCATGCTCTCATTCTTATATTGTTGGTGTGTGGAATTCCGTGTCTAAGACCCTACTACTATTTAATTTTCCTTAATGGACTGCTCCGCAATAAGGTTAGATGGATGTTATTCTTCCATTGGTCTTAGACAGCTGAGACTTTAACATGAAATTAAGTAATCTCACAGTTCTTTCTCTTTCTTTTTCTTTCTTTCTTTCTTTCTTTCTTTCTTTCTTTCTTTCTTTCTTTCTTTCTTTCTTTCTTTCTTCCTTCCTTCCTTCCTTCCTTCCTTTCCTTCCCTCCTTCCTTCCTTCCTTCCTTCCTTCCTTCCTTCCCTCCTTCCTTCCTTTTCTTCTTTCCTTCTTTATTTCTTCCTTTCTTTCTTCCTTCCTTCCTTTCTTCCTTTCTTGTAGTGTGCTTTGAAGTGTCAAATCTCAACCTGGTTTAAACAATACACTTTCCTAACTTTTGTTTGAAAAAAAATCTGCGAAGTAACATTGGAATAAAAAAAACAAGCCATACGTATTTTCTTAGACGTGTAATTGTATATATAACTATATAGATAAACCCAAAGTATTCCTTAATTAGTATGGTTCTTATTTAAAGTGATGTGAATTAATGAAAAGTTGGATTTTTTTGCTTTTTATAAGATCTGATGCATCATATTTTTCATTATATTATTCCACATTATTTTTCCTTGAAATTCCTAGCATAATATATCTGTTACTTAGTATGTATCTAGGCAGCAACACATAGAAGTTTATCAGTGTCTAAGAACAATTCCTGTGTACTGGTTTACATTTGTATGAATGGCATATCCTGAAGACTGCTGTGCTTGTGTCGTGACTTACAGTATTTCACTATTTTATAGGAATTCCTTGTTGTCATTTACAGCGCTCTGACATACTTTCATGTGGTAGGTTCTTTCTCAGGAACTCAATTTAACTATTATTTATTGATATATCATTGCCTTTTAAAAGCTTCTACTGGCACAATTTATTATTAAAATTTTGAATCCAAGCCTCTTAGTTGGTGTCATTTTATTGTTGTACATGTAACAACGTTGTCTTGCAGGACACAGTAACTCCCATACCTTCTTGGGCATCACATGTAGCTACAAGTTTTTTTTGTGTGTTTATGTGTGTGTGTGGTTTTTTGCCCCCCCTCTCCCCCCCCAGGCCCAGGTTTTGAACTCAGGGCCTGAGCTTTTTGCTCAAGGCTAGTACACTTGAACCACACCTCCACTCAAGGCTAGCACTCTATGACCATACCTCCACTTCTGGCTTTTTTGTGGTTAACTGGAGATAAGAGTTTCACAGACTTTCCTGCCTAGGTTAGCTTCAAACCTGGACTTTGTAGGTGTGAGCCACTGCCATCAGCTCTTCTTCTTTCAGCTTCTCCTCTTTTTTTTTTTTTTGTCAGTTATGGGGCTTGAACTCAGGGATTGGGCACTGTCCCTGTGCTCTTTTTGCTCAAGGTTAGCACTTTTTTTTCCCAAATATTTCTTTATTGAGATTAGGTGACTACATAAATTTTACAATACCGTGGCAGAGTTATACTTAGCTAAAGTCACAAACACCTTTTAATCTTTACAATGATAATCATCATTATCTTAATCTACATAGTTTATGAACTCTATGACCTTTATTTTTTTCTTTTTTTTTTTTTTTTGTCGGTCGTGGGGCTTGAACTCTGGGCTTGGGTGCTGTCCCTCAGCTCTTCAGCTCAAGGCAAGCGCTCTACCACTTGAGCTACAGCACCACTTCCTCTATGACCTTTAACAATAAAATGATTTCTTTCAAATCTGGTGATATGTACATTTCTTTTCTTTTCTTTTTGCCAGTCATGGGGCCTGAACTCTGGGTCTGGGCGCTGTCCCTCAGCTCTTCGGCTCAAGGCTAGTGCTATACCACTGGAGCCACAGCGCCACTTCCGGATTTTTCTACATATGTGGTGCTGAGGAATGGAACCCAGGGCCTCATGCAAGCAAGGCAAACACTCTACCACTGAGCCACCTCCCCAGCCCCTGTTCCTTCTTTTTATCTCATTCCCTCCCTCCCATCACTGCCCTTGAGTTGCTTAGTTCACCTTCATCAATGTCCAGTGCAGCTGATGTAGACATTCTTTTTTTTATAAATGTATTTTTTATTGTGAAAATACTATACCAGAGGGGTTACAATTACATGGGCAAGATAATGAGTATATTTCTTATCAAGTATTGTAAGGCTAGCACTTTTATTGTTTTCAACCATAGCTCCACTTCAGGGTCTCATGGACTTTCCTGCACTGGCTGTCTTTGAATACTGGTCCTCAGAACTCAGCCTCCTAAGTAATTAGGATTACAGGTATGAGCCATTGGGTGCCTGCCTCTTCTTCCTCCTCCTTCCCCTCCTCTTCCCTCCTCCCTTCTTCCTCTTCCCTTCTTCCTCCTTCCTTTCTTCTTTAATAAGGTCTACTGTGTATTCCTGGTTAGCCTTGAACTTTTTTTTTGTACTCTACCATTTGAGCCACAGCTCCACTTCTGTTTTCTTGGTGATTAATTAGAGATGAGTCTCATGGACTTTGCTGCCCAAGTTGGCTTTGAACCACATACTCCAATCTGAGACTCCTGATTGGTATTACGGTTGTGAGCCACAACCCAGCATTCTACATAATTTTTTTTTTTTTGGGTCCGGTCGTGGGGCCTGAACTCTGGGCCTGGGCACTGTCCCTCAGCTCTTCAGCCCAAGGCTAGCACGTTACCACTTGAGCTTTTTTTTTCTGCTTATGTGGTGCTGAGGAATCCAACCCAGGGCCTCATGCATGCAAGGCAAGAGCTCTACCACTGAGCCACCTTCTCAGCCCCTACATAATTTTTTTCTATGTACCTTCTATGCATTAGAGAAAGCATTGATAATATTTATCATGAAGTAATCTCAAAAGTATGATGGAGAATCAGGATCTGCAGAGGGTTGGGCCAAGGGAAGAAGATTTTCCCCAGGCTGCAGTGGTCAGGAAATACAGCCCAGGGGAAGTGATGCCTGTGGAGACCTAACAAGTAGGAGAGGAGATAAAAGGGGCAGCTAGCATGATGTAGGGTAGGTAGAGTTGTCAATATTACTGGAGCTTCATAACTGAGTCTGAGGAAGACCTGATGCTCCAGAACAAGCAGGAACCTGCTTATGCAGGACCTTGGGTTACAAACATTCCAGTTTATTGCATAATACTTGAAAACAGAAACCTCTATTTCAACAGTTCTTGAAAACCAAATGCTTAGCCTAAACCACAGACTGTACAGGATGACAATGCTTTCAAAATCTTGTTTACTAAAATAAGAATTTGAATAGTCTTAGCCGGGCACTGGTGGCTCATGCCTACTCACGCCTACGCTACTCAGGAGGCTGAGATCTGAGGATCACGGTTCAAAGCCAGCCCGGGCAGGAAAGACCGTGAGACTCCTATCTCCAATAAACACCAGAAAACCGGAAGTGGCGCTGTAGCTCAAGTGGTAGAGCGCTCACCTTGAGCTGAAGAGCTGAGGGACAGCGCCCAGGCCCAGAGTTCAAGCTCCATGACCGACAAAAAAAGAAAAAGAAAGAAAAAAAAATTGAATAGTTTTAAATACATTTTTCTTTCATGTGTTTTCAGTTGTTATTATAAAGGTAACGTACAGCGTCAGATAAGAGTGCATTTCCTTTTGATCAAGTCACTCCTTCCCTCACCAAGTTTTTCTCTCCCATCCCCACCCACAAATTGTATAATTCATTTTCAACATAGTGTCTAGTAACACTATGTTCACCTTTTGTTCCACTATTTCTGTGCTGCCCCTTACCCTAATGATAAATGAACAAGCAAGACACAAGGAAGACAAAAACAGCAACAAAGGAAAAAAGCTTCTTTCCGTTTCCTGGAGATCATTTTGATAAATCTCAAAAGACTAAACATAGAGCTTCTTCGTGACCAAGTAATTCTACTCCTGGGCATTTATCCTTGTAGGCATTTTTGTGGAGACTGGGAAAGGTTTACAAAGTTGGCTTCTTTTGTTTTTAACGGAAGGACCCCACCAACATTCTAATTGAATCATAGATTAATACATCCCAAGGACAATGTCTACAGTAAGCATTATTAGATCTTTTCTTTTTTTCTTTTCTATCCTTCCTTTTCTTTTTCCTTTCTTTTGGCTAGAACTCAGGGCCTGGGGACTGTCCCTGAACTTTTTTGCTTTTGGTGGGTAATTGGAGATAAGAGTCATGTATTTTCCTGCCCAGGGTTGGCTTCAAACTGATTCTCAGATCTCAACCTCCTCCTGAGTAGGTAGGATTACAGGTGTGAGCCACCACCAGTGCTCAACTATTAGCCTCTCTTCCCATTTTTTTGTGTGCTTTGTTAAATGACAACTCCTTTGTTGTTGTTGTTGTTTGTCTTTGCTAGTCCTGGGGCTTGAACTCAGGGCCTGGGCTCTGTCCCTGAGCCTCTCTGTGCTCAAGGCTAGCACTCTACCACTTAAGCCACAGCACCACTTCTGGCCTTTTCTGTTTATGTGGTACTCCGAATCGAACCCAGGGCTTCTAGCTAGGCAAGCACTCTACCATTAAGACACATTCCCAGTCCTGGCAACTCCTTTGTACAACTACTTAAAGATAGTAAAAGTAGGCTGGGCACCAGTGGCTCACACCTGTAATCCTAGCTACTCAAGAGGCTAAGGTCTGAGGATCACAATTCAGAGCCAGACTGGGCAGGAAAGTCCATGAGACTGTTTTTGTTGGTTGCAGGGCCTCAACTCGGCCTGGGCACCTCAGCTCTTCAGCTCAAGGCTAGCACTCTACCACTTGAGCCACAGCGCCACTTCTGGCTTTTTCTGCTTATGTTGTGCTGAGGAATCGAACCCAGGGCCTCATGCATGCAAGGCAAGCACCCTACCACTAAGCCACCTTCCCTGCCCTCTGTGAGACTCACCTCCAATTAACCTTCAGAAAACTGGAAGTGGCACTGTGGCTCAAGTGGTAGAATGCTTGCTTTGAGCTGAAGAGTTCAGGGATGGTGCTCAGGCCCAGAGTAAAAGCCCCACGACTTTTACCTCCAAAAGAGGTAAAAATTTAAAAGAAACAAACACCCACACAGTGGTTCTGCTTGTCAATGGTGGCTCATGTCTATAAACCAGCTTCTGAGTATCACTGTTCAAAGCATCTAAGACATGAAAATTACCTTCAATTAATCAGCCAAACGTCAGAAATGGAGTTATGATTCAAGAGTTCCA